AGTAATATATATATATATATATATATATATATATACACACACTAAATCATATAAAGTGCTTTAAAAGATTCATAAATATACTGTATATTTTCATAAATGTTTGAATATGATTATTTTTAGTAAAACCTGATTTCAGCTCAAAAATGTCTATATAGAATTAACCATAAACAAAAATGTTTTTTAATTAGCAAATATACTATATCTTTTAACAAATGTTTTAAAGTGATTATTTTTAGTATATATACTAAATAATTATTTTTTTTTATGCTTTAAAAATAAGTATATATTATATATAATAAATTATTTTCATTAAATATATTGAATCATTTTTATTTGAAGTGCTTTAAATTATAAATATACTATATATTTTCTTAAATGTTTTAAAACGTTTATTTTTAGTATATATACTAAATAATTGAATTTTTTTTATGCTTTAAAAATAAGTAAATATAAATAGATTATAAATTTAAATAGATTATAAATAATCTTAAATGTTTTAAAATGATAATTTTTTGTATAAATAATTTTTAAGTACACTAAAAAAAATCAGAAGCATACTATATATTTTCATAAACATTTTATAATGTTTATTTTCAGTACATACTAAATAATTTTTATTTAGTATATATATTTTCTTAAATGTTTTAAAATTATTTTTTTTAGTAAAACCCGATTTTAGCTCGAAAATGTCTATATAGCAGTAATCATAAACACAAATATATTTTTTTTTAAATGAGCAAATATACTATATCTTTTTACAAATGTTTTAAAGTGTTTATTTTTAGTAAATATACTACATATTTTTTTATTTTTAAGTGCTTTAAAAAAATCATAAATATACTATATCTTTTCTTAAAAGTGTTAAAATATTTAGTTTTAGTAAATATACCAAATTTTTATTTTTAAATGCTTTTAAAATTAGAACATATATTTTGTAAAATGTTTTTTAAAATGATTATTTTAGTAAAACCCAATTTTTCCAATCTTTCAATCTCTATATTAGTAATCATAAACAGTCTGTTTTCATAAAACTCATCATCCAGCACAGCGTTAGCACCGCTACAATATAAAATACTTCAAGCCATGCATTTCTGTCAAATATAATTCATGCAATATGCCAAACCTTTAACCCCGCAGGGAAAAATTCACCCGTGGCCAGAGTTTAAAAGCAGCCTGATTAAATTCAAACTGAAAATAAAACTACTGACAGCAGCATGAATGCAAAACCTAGTGTGCTGTCTACATAGGGAGCCCTTCAGGGCCAAACATGACAAACATTATTATGCAGTCGAGAGCATATGCACTCCTCTTGAATTTAATTATTGCTATTGGCTGTTTTAGCTTCATGCAACAGGTAATCAGAATGAAATATGCAGGCACACATTTACCTTTCACAAGCATCTGATCTCTACACATGCCTGCATAGGCCTTACGGTCACGCTCGGATTGAAAATCGTGTTTCTGATGGTGTTCAGACGGCAGATTTGGGAACAGATATTAGATATCAACAGCTGATCGTCTGGGTTTGTTTAGTTCGCATCACCTTCAGCGACTCTAGACTGAAGGAAATGTAGCTTTGACTTGATTTCTAATGTTGCGCTTGTGTCTGAAATGTCCATCTGTCAGTATGAGCACCTGCGTCTCCGACAGTCCCTTCTGCTGCTCCGCCGGTGAAGCCCAAGCCGTCGTGGATTCAGTGAGTCACACACACACACACACACACAGACACACTCACAGACACACACACACACACTCACACACTCTCACACACAATCGAGCTTTGGGAACTTCTGAGCATGATGAACCTCTAAATGCATTCTTCTCAAACAATACCAGGGCTCTGTTTGGATTCAATAGTCATTCATGCAACTGCAAATTGTTTAAAGATGACTTTGATTGAATAGTGTGGTGAGGATTTGATTAAACTTCAACTAAAAGCATTAGTTTTAGTCTAAACTTTAGTCATTTGCTCACCCAGAAGCCGGAGCTGTCAACGTCAAAACGCATAATTAAGGTCTCATTAAAGTCTCGTTTAAGTAGTCCACACAACTCATGCAATACTTCCCTGAAGTCACTCATTATGTGCTTAAATGAATAGTGAAAATGACAACTTGCTGAAAATGTTCTCACCCTCAGTTCATCTGAGATTAGGATGAGTTTGTTTCTTCATCAGATTTGTAGAATTGTAGCACTGCATCAGTGTCTCAGCAATGGATGCTCTGCAGTGAATGGGTGCCGTCAGAACGAGAGTCCAAACAGCTGATAAAAACATCACAATAATCCACAGCACTCCAGTCCATCAGTTAACATCTGGAGAAGACAAAAGATTAAACAAATCCATCAAGACGTTTTAACTAAAATACGAGTCCATAATAACTCTTCCTCCAGTGAAAAAGTGCATTGGTGTGAATCAGGAGAGAAATCTGCACAGATCAAGCAGCGTTTAAACAGCTCTAAACAAATATGTGGCTGGATTTTAATGTGAGAGACAACAGCAGATGCACTTTTTCACTGGAGGAAGAGTTATTATGGATTATGGACGTTAAAAACATCTTAATGCTGGATTAGTTTCAGCTTTTGTCTTCTCCAGATGTTAACTGATGGACTGGAGTGCTGTGGATTACTTGTGGATTATTGTGATGTTTTTATCAGCTGTTTGGACTCTCGTTCTGACGGCACCCATTCACTGCAGCGCATCCATTGCTGAGACACTGATGCAATGCTACATTTCTCCAAATCTGATGAAGAAACAAACTCATCCTGATCTCGGATGAACTGAGGGTGAGTGCATTTTTGCACAACTATTGCTTTAAGTTTCTCAACTTGTCTAAAGCATGTCAGTAATGTCTCTCTTTTTATGTTTCATTGAGTAAATGATTATTTTTGTTAGTCTAATCCTGTGAGATCTACCTTCTCTTCTCAGGCTCGTCCGTACGGTGCTGCAGAGCCGGTGCCGAGCTCAGGTGAGCGATCCTGAACCACAAACAATAGGTTTTATTAGAGGAGTATGACAATGTAAAAGGTAAAATCAGTAATAAAATCTAATGAGGTTTCCAACAAGTATTTATTTAAATATCACAATCATTCCATAGAACAATAAGTGAATACAGTTTTCAGAAGAAGACAATGTTATTCTGTTCTATGGCTCATTTCTCAAATAATATAAACTTCATTTTTTAAGTTATACAAGATTCAACTCTATTTTCCAAGTCAGTTTAATATGTTTTAAATCAAAACGATGCTGGTTCGATTCTACTTAAAAATCTAAGACCGCAGCTGAACTTAAGTTTTTGAATCTAAGTAGATTGGGTTTTTTTACAGTGTGTATACATTAAAAATAATAAATATTTTTTGTTCTCTTCTCTAGCTGATAAATGGTTCTATTACGAACAGACATAGACGATCATCAGCGCTGACTCCCGGCTGTCATCGTTCTGTTATACATTGTATTAGTTACTGCTAAACACTGTGTAGTTTGATTCATAAAGGCCTAAATAAAGTTTGGATGTAATACTGTGCAAAATATGAACACACAAACTCAATCAGAATAAAGCAATGTGACTTTATAAATACACATCTGTGGTTATCAAGAGCTATTTTACTGAAATATGATACATGTGTACGTTATGCAACTTTTCAGTGTTCGTTTATGTATGTGTTTGTCAAAGGAACATCTAATTGTAGCACATTTAATTAATAAATAATTGTTGCTAATTTCATGATGCTGTTTCTTGACTTCATGCCCCGTCGCCATGGAGACCAGCATCACTGTAGCAGCATCTGTTACTCTGCGTTTGAATGGCTTTTTACGGGAAAACCGACATTACGCTGACATACGAGGATCATGTGAACGATGCATAAGAGTGATCTTCCTTTAATTGGGGAAATTTCCTATCCTACTCGGAAAAACAAGCAATTAGTATAGTTTTGCATTAGCGGTCAAAAGTTTGGAATAATTAAGTTTTTAATGTTATTTAAAGAAGTCTCTTCTGCTCACCAAGGCTTTATTGAGCACTGATAATAATAGATAATTTATCAGCAAATCAGCATATTATACTGATTTCTGAAGATCATGTGACACTGAAGACTGAAGACTAAACTTTATCAAATCTCTGTATTTCCGAAGCAAGTATTGACGATTTAATTTTGAGCTTGTCATTACTATCACACACAATATTAAAATCCACTAAAAGGTTGATTAAGGCACGGATCAGATCTTAGATAAATGTTTTAACATAATATGCAGACTGAACACATTTAGGTCCCCCTTAAAGGATCACCTCACCCATATTAATATTTTTTAAATATATATTAGTTTTACAGCTTTTGTCATAGCTACCGTTTCTGACTGCTAATATGTTATTCCCATCAGTGAGAGTTTGAACATGTATATGTGTTTATATCCTGATTTTTGTATGCATAATTGCATATATGTATTTTTCATTAATGCAAAAGTCTATAAAAGCAAACACTGAATAGATTGAGCAGAGTAAGTAATGTGGTGTTAGAATAGATGTGTAAACAGCGGCATCTAGCGGTCATAGCTTGTATGTGCAGCAGACCTGCACGCACAGGTCGGCGTTTTAAATTCGCATCAAAGCGTTTGTTTTGGAGAACTGTACTTACAGTTCATGATCATATCCAGACAGGATCACTTCATAATGTGCTGCTGGAGTAGACAAATACAGAGCTGATCAAAGCTGCTCCATCTGCGCCATCCTAACCTGCAGTTACACACAGTAAAAAATACAGTAAGAAAATACTGCTTTTAAACTTTTTATTTTAATTATTAAAATCATATAAACAAGGACATCTGCAGATAAATACATGAAAACATTTTTTAATTAATTAGTAAGGGACAGGAATATATAACTAGTAAAAATAACCCGCATATCAAAGTAAAAGATTAAAGAACTGGACATATTTCAATCGTTTTTAAAGCCTCCTTAAGTCATTTAAAAATATTCCCAAAATACTGCTGTAAATCAGCAAGCAGAACATACAAAAGTGGTTTCTGCCTTGAAAATTTGCATTTATGTACATAATATTTTGTTAGCAAAATGAGAAAATTATTTTAAGATATTTGTTTTTTTTCTGTTGTTCTTTTTTCCCCATTCAAAAAAATGGACTGAGCGAGTGGATAAATGTTGTGTTTGTGGTAAACACGGATCAGTAGCGGACTCCTGTGGGAAAGCTGCTTCTCCTCACAAGAGTCACCTAAGAGGAGTATTCCCCCCATTTTCAAAAATTTAATTCAGGCCCTGAATAAATGTCTAAAAATCCTGATTGGAGTATCACTATAAATAGTTTTAAATGATAAAAAGAAGGCTTTAAAGGGGTCATATGATGCTGCTAAAAAGAACATTATTTGGTGTATTTGGTGTAATGCAATGTGTTTATGCGGTTAAAAAAACATTATTTTCCACATACTGTACATTATTGTTTCTCCTCTATGCCCCGCCTTTCTGAAATGCTCGATTTTTACAAAGCTCATCGGTCTGAAAAGCGAGGTGTGCTGTGATTGCACCATTATTTATGCACCGAGAGCTTGGAACACTCCAAAGAGAAAGGAACAATTGAAATCGCATCATATTATGACCCCTTTAAAAAGATCGGAATCGGTGATCGTATTGGCAGATACTGCTTTCTGTGATCGGCAATCGGTCTCAAAAATCCTGATCGGAGCACCCCTATTATTATCCCTGTAGTTAATGAAAATTAATTTCCAAGTGCACCACACATGAAGTTGCCAACATGAAGTAAATGTTAAACAAATCACTTGTTAAATATCTTTGCAGAAAAAATGCATGAACTACAACTAGGCTACATCTTGTACAAACTTTTCTTATACATATTATATGTTCAGAAATAATACAAGGAAAATGCTTCTTAAAACATCTCAAAAGTCAAGGTAATTCAAATTAAAAATGAATGGAGGTATAACACCAGCAGACTATTATTAACTATAAATGTTCTGTAAAAACAATGAACAGCAGCTTTCAGTCTGTCACCATGATGCACACATGAAATATCAGACATACCGTAGTAGCTCTAAACAGGTTTTTTATTCGCTTGCGCTGCTTTTCCATTGTTTTTTTCTATGAAAACATGAACGCGTTTGACTCGTGCATGAAATGGCTTTATAAAAATGCGGTGCTCAAGTTAAAAGAAGTTCAACTCACCCATTCACTGCAGAGCATCCATTGCTGAGACACTGATGCAATGCTGCATTTCTCCAAACCTGACGAAGAAACAAACTCATCCTGATCTGGGATGAACTGAGTGTGAGAACATTTTCTGCCAAGAAAAAAAAAAACACTGGAAATCCCAGATTTTCTACAAGTATGATAAAAGCAGTAGTTCATATGACTCATGCATACCAACACGTGAGATCTGAGAGCTATATTTCTGTACATTTTCTGTAAACTCATGCAATTCTGTTATGACACTTTTTGAACCTTTACAAACGTGAACTGTCTTTATATAGAAAGCATATGGATTTTTCAGAATGTCTCTTTTTGTGTTTCACTGAAGCAATAGTCATATGTGGTTAGAACCACAGGCGTACATTACAGTGTCCTTGTTACACATTACATGTACTTCTAGTAATAACAGTAACAAATAACCCTAAACATATAGCAAGTACATGTTAATATTACTCAGTATTCAGTTGTGTAATTAAACTGCATGCAACAAAGACAGCTTAAAATAAAGTGTAACCCAGAATTCTCATCATACACTCTTAAAAATAAAGGTGCTTCACGATGCCATAGAAGAACCTTTTTGTCTAAATGGTTCCATAAAGAACTTTTAACATCTGAAGAACCTTTCTGTTTCACAAACGGTTCTTTGTGGCGAAAGAAGGTTCTTCAGATTACAAAAAGGCAAGAAAGAGATGGTTCTTTAAAGAACCTTTGACTGAATGCTTCTTTGTGGAACCAAAAATGGTTCTTCTATGGCATCGCTTGAAGAACCTTTTGAAGCACCTTTATTTTTAAGAGTGTAGGCTGAAATATTCCATGAAAGTGTTTAAAATCATGTTCAGTTCCACTGCAGAGCAGCAGGAGGCAGAAGTCTGTAACATAGTTTGGTAAAAAAACAGCTCTTTTCAGATCAAGCCGTTTTTGTAGCATTTTCCTTTAAATGTTAATGAGCTCTGCTGACTCCGCCCCTCTCTTCCCAGCAGCTCTCAGACTGTTTACTTTAGCCGCATTCATCGTGAAACTTGCTAATTAGCACGTTATTAGGAAAGGCGATTTGGTCATGGGTTCGAATGCACAAGCTAAAATGTATGGTATTTGAAATATAACATATTCCTTCATTGTAATGCAAGTCACTTTGGATAAAAGCATTTGCCAAATACTGCATAAATGTAAATGCATCGCATGTAAACTGTGCACAGCAGTGTTCATTTAGTATCATTGATCTACTGTTATAGTTTTTAATATTTTGAATTAGTTTTCATGTTTATACTCTGCTTTTATTTTAATTTTAGTTAAGGTTGTAGTGATTTTGTAACTATTACAGATTTTACAGATATACTGTAGTAACTATTACAGATTTTTCGTAGTTGTAATTTAGTAACTATTATTAATTTGTATTAATATTTTGAATTGGTTTTATTTTGTAATTATTGTATTTTTTTAGTAATAGTAATTTAGTAACTATTATAGTATTATAGTTTTTATGAATATTTTTAATTAGTTTTAATTTTATACTTTTTAATTTAATTTAATTTTAGCTAAAGTTGTAGTAATTTTATAACTCAATGTTTTTATTAATTCAGTAATTATTATAGTTTTTAATAACAGTAATTTAGCAACTAATATCGTTTTTATGAATATTTTAAATTAGTTTTAATTTCTATACTTTGTTTTTACTTAATTTAATTTTAGTTAAAGTTGTAGTAATTTAATAACTTATTTTTTTATTTAGTAATTATTCATTTTTTTTTAATAGTATTTTAGTAACTATTAATGTTTTTATCAATATATTAAATTAGTTTTTATTTTTATCATTTTTATTTTATATTTAGTAACTTATTGCTTTTTTATTATTTTAATAATTATACTTTTTTAGTAATAGTCATTTAGTAAATATTACAATTTCTATTAATATTTTATTTAAATTTTTTATACTTTTTATTTAAATTTTAGTGAAAGTTTTAGTAATTTTGTTATAATAATAACCCTGTTGCATTGTATGCACAGATGATCTACTCAACACCGTCCATTTCTGGTGTGATGAATGAAACAGAAATAATATCACATTCTGCATAATATTTTTTGATGCATTAATGAGCATAAATGCTCTGATTCTCATGACCCAGGATCTTTGTTTTCACTGTGCGCTGGCGTGTGCTGATTTCACAGCAGTGTTTTCAGAGGCTCTGTATATTAATTCTATTCACTGCAGCGCTGCCAGATATTGATTTTGTCAAACTAAATATTTCTCCTCTGGAGTTTCTCAAGACGTCGGGAACATCAAATGCATCCTTACACACGAACACACAGCTGATTATGTATCAGAGAGTTTTATTTCACAGATTTAGAGAATCTCAACATCACACATACGCTTTGATCCGACAGAGAAAGAGCCAATAAAAGAGCTTTCTGTTGTAAACTATCATGCAATGCGAAAAATAAAGCAATTCAAATAGCCGAGAACATTTACATAATCGACAACTCATAATGTTTCACGTTTTGTTTTCACACAACCTGATGAGCAACCAAACACACGCTTTGAGCTGTGCATTCAAGAAACCCGAGTCAGTTCTGATTCAGAATAAAAGCATTATCATAAATTATACAACAGGTAATTGCATTCCACTAATTTGACAGG